TATATATATATATATATATATATATATATATTCTTCAATCATTTTAAAAGATAATGGTTTCCTACTTTGCAGCTGTAAAGTAAAGGTATATTCGACCCCTCCACCAACTTCAAAATTAACAAAATAATGAAATATTATCAAAATCTAATTCTGAGTGATTTTTTAGGTAAACAATCAGAGTTAATTGTCGATTCGAAATGTTTTTTTGCCACCAAGATAGCTTGGGTAAGTGATCAAATTTAATTGTTATGCATATTAACTTTTACCTAAAAATTAGAGATTCAAATTGCAAAGTATATCATTTATAATGAATGTAAAATTAAGATAGTATTTTTTTCGCTAGAATAATAACTTCAAAAACAAACTATGGATTTTAAATATTTCAGGGTGTATGACTGGAAATAAATTATGCGAATTGAAAATAAATTAAGAATAAATATTTAAGAATAAAAGCATAAAAATTAAGAGAGTTGAATTGCCTTGGGTGCATTTAGCATCTAACCATAAGCTGCTACCTACCACCAACTGCCACTCTTTTTCTATTTGTCTTAAGTTTCTTTTTCCATTTTTTTTTTCATCTTTCTTAATTTAAAGAATTAAAATCGTATGAAGTGATCAAAATCGAATTCAAGCTTTAGATCAGGAAATTAGTTAGCAAGCCTTGCTATTATGGATGTAAGGATGGACCTTCCGTATCTAAAACATATTTTATATCCAGATTTATAAAAATATATCTATTTATTTTTTTATATCAAATTTTGGTTTTATTAGATTTAGATTTTAATTACAAAATATTTAATTTTAATATTTTTCACTTTTCTTAATAATCGGATTCAGTTTGAATATAAATTCAAAATTTATGTATTATTCAATTGAATTCAATTCTACATAGATCAGATGTAAGATTATCAAAATTACGTTTAAATGCTATGATGATTAACATTCACAAAAAAATATGTTAAGTGGTGTCCATAACAATCAAATGAAAATTAATTCCTTTTATGGGTCTAAATTAAAATTGAAGCCATCTTAATATATTCGTTATTGTAGTTCTGAACATTATAATATTTAATAATAATAATAATAATAATAAATATATTTTAAAAATATTAATAAAATATTTAAAATTGATAAATCTTTTTTAAAACTATTAAAAGAAATTTTGATTCGCGACGAGTTTGGCCTGCTTTTTTTTCGGGTTCAAATTTTTTGAGCACACAACGAAAAATATGAACGGACTCGTAAATTTTTATTTTTTTAATAATTTGGAAGTTCACCGAACCTTTGGTCCGACTACATCTACTAAGAAAACCAGGTGAATACACCTCCCTAGGCTTGGGTTGAATCGCGAGAGAGAGACACTTTGAACTCAAAATCCCGAGAATATCCTCTCGACAGTTTGAGTGAGAGAGAGACACTTTAAACTCAAAATCCCGAGAATATCCCAACATGGATTATTGTCGGGATTCGCATAGGTTTGGTTCGAATACTATAACAAAAAGAAAAAGCACAAGATTATCTACAGTGAAGTAAGACTCACTGAGTTACGGATGTGTGATCACTGATCATGTATGGCTTTGGTCCTTTTGCTGGAAATTCTTGAGTTGCCCATAAAATCTTATTCTTCAGACAAATCTAATCTACTTCGAACTCATTGAGGAATGTGTTCCTGTGATCTTGGAGTTTATTTTCTCTTTTATCTTGGTGACAGTTAGATATTAAGGAAGAGTTGGAGAGATTTTGATACATTTACCCGAACTTGGATTTGCTTAAACGACGGCGTTTTCATGGCTTTGTTTCCCATCTTCCGGTTCTTTTGAACTCAGATCCATGGCGGTTTCAATCTTCATGTGATATTTGCTTCTTCTTTCGCATCTGGCCAACGTACAGGACATTTTTTCTGCCAAAGGAAAAAGGACCGATTCGGATTTTTTTTTTTGAATGAATGTGGTGATTCAGATATGGTCATAATATTACATATGATCAGCTCAAAACCAATCTGTAGTTATCTAACAATTCCACTTCTAAATGGATCGATCCGAATGAATCTCATTGAACCCGTTTTGCAATCAGAAACGGAAACATGGTATACTTACCTTTTATACTTCCGTATGTTATGAGCCGAGCAAGAAAGTCCCGGAAGTTCGCCAACACGTGCCTTTCTTTCTCTGCATAAACCCCCGAGAACTCGCTATCCCGATAATTTGCCTTTGCTTCTTGCTTTTCCTCGGTTTCTGTCACTCGGGCCTCTGCTACTTTCTTTGATATGATCATACGATCTTCATCGCACATCAATGCCCGTGTTGCTGGAGATAAATGCCTCTCGTCCCCTGTATCAGGTTGATATGGTACAGAGCCGTCGCCCTTAGTAGCTGCTTGATCCTCACCCCGAAGAACATCAATGGCAATGTCTGGAGAGGCGTATCTGTAATGTTTCATGCTGTCTTTCTCTATTCTCTTGTCAGTTTCACGACTCCCGCCTGAAATCCCACTATACACATCTGTAAAGGCTGATCTAATTTGTAAAACAGAATCCTCTCTATCTAAATTGTATAATATGTACCTGAAAAATTGTTTGGTACATCCATGGATACAGACACCAAAATCGAGCATAATTCTTTCACATGATGTGGCTGGATAGCATCTGCGAGGGGAGACCTTCAGAAAGTAAAAGTGCCACATTAGTCCTTAGAGCTTACCAGCCCGAAGTAGTTTAAAAGTAAGACAAGGATTCATTCCACATTGCCAAACCTGTAAGTGCTTTTGGGAGATACCGATACCACCCTATTGTTGGGGACCGGAAATAGAGGAGTCGGTCCATTTCTTGGGAAGTGATTTCCCTAGTTAGAAATGGAGAAAGAAATCATTATTCCATCCAGATTGTATCTGCAACTTCTGAAAGAAATGAAGCACCGAGTCAGGACAAGTATTAGTCTGTGAGAAAGTTTACCTGCTGATACTGCACAATGTGGGGAACTTCCTCGCTTTTTCTCTTTCTTGATTCAGTGGTATTCATAAAACCTGAAAAGCCAACAGCGCCATTGATGGCTTCATTGGCTGCCTGCTTGATGAACGATACCGAGTTCTGATATCCATGAAGAAGAGCAGTTCTTTCTTCGCTTCCTTCGAAATTCTTGCAATCTTGACATGTACAATTTTCAGAACATAGAATATCTGCCTGGTAACACTCACAGTACTTCTTGAGGCATCTCGATTTCTTGCAATTGCATCCTTTGTTGTGCTTCCCCAGGATATGGGCTTTGTGCTCATCATCCTAGGGAGTTATTTTCAGAAATTTAATCACATTCAAAGGATAAAACTTTATTTAAATCTCATCTACTCTAAATAGAATTTTATCAAAATAATCTCCTAGCCTATACTTCTTTCTTTTGCTTACAAGCAAAACCAGCAAATAACCTTTTCAACAGGTCAACAACTTTTTGTAACCTGAAACAATTCTAAAAGACATAATCATAAGAAAAGAAAATAATCTCATAGTCTATACTTCTTTCTTCCGAACCATAAGCAAATTTCCCTTTTTGGGTTCTGTTACTAGTTACATATAGTCAGATATAAAGTTCCAAACTTTTTTATGAACATAAAAAATTTCTTAGATCAAGGATTTGAGTTACACCAACTCACCTGAGAATCTTTTATTCCATGAGGACTACCAGCAATCTTGGGCTTGAACGCCCTCGGATTGCGTTCCAAGATAACCCCGACAGCTTCTTGCCTTGCAGCCTCGTTATCCAAATTGTTGTGACAATTCAAGCAATTACAACCATTACAATAAGTTCCAGAAGCAAAGCACTCACAGTACCTATAAAAAAATTACAAATCCCTCGAGTTCATAAAACAACAGAAACAGACAAACGCAAATAGCATTATACCAGTCAACTTCTAGATATCAAATCATTGTGAGCGATGATCCGACAATCCCCTAAAGATTGTATAATACAGAGAATCACAAGGACCTAGTTGCCTGAAGAAGGGGAGATATATTAAGGAGATTGTATTCTTACAGCTTCAAGCACTTTGAATTTTTACAACTGCAATGCTTCTGTTTCTTCGGGGTAACATCCTTGGATTCGATTTCCGGCTTCCCTTGCGGGGCCGAGAACTCTTGCTTGCTGCATAAATCATCCGAAATGATAAACCTTTTTAACACACAATCTCTAAAATTCGAATCCAATTTTCGAACACAAATAATTCCATGTTTAACATACTAGGATGTTCACTTTCAGAAATCAAATCGAATAACATTACCACTTCACCGATGAATTCCTCTGCACATGTTGATCCGTCCGACGAATCGGCGACTTCTGCGGCGGCGGCGTAACGTCATACGGCTGAGTCTTATCCTCCCCTGCCGCCGTAGCTGCCTCCAGATACGGCTGTTTAGCCACATAACACTCTCGCTTCTGCGACATCAACTCCAACCGCAGCTCCTCCTCCGCGATTTCCGATTCCGGAGGAGGCGGCTGCAAGTCTTCTCCTCCCAGTTCCCCCGCCGGAGGCCCTGAATTCGCGTCAGAAAGTGACTGAATCCGAGTTTCTTGAAACGGAACCGCCGTCTTCGTCCCCGGCGTCGCCCCCGTGGCTGAGAAATCGGATTGGCGCGTCAAAATTTTCGTGTGAGAATCTGCAACCCGATCGAATTTCTCCATGGATATTCTAATAGATTTAACATGAAGCAGAAAATTCAAGCAGAGTGGTAGAGTTTTTCGGTACTTCTTCAGTTCTTCTTCCTCGGATCTTTTGATTATTTTGAAATTTTGAGAACTGAATTTGAAGATTTTAATCACCTAATCGGACGGATGAGATTGAAAGAAAATATCAACGGTCAAGATCTAGATAAAGTACAAAGAGAACTTATCAGCCGTTGGATCGTGATAGATTTAGGTTTTCCTTTGGTGTATGGATACGAGCAGAGATTTGGCGGTAACGGAGCAACCGAATGGGACAAGGGTTTTCTTGGTTCGTTACACGTGTACGGTTCGGATTACTTTGGGGATCATAATGAGCGGACGATATTTGAAACTGTAAATACGAAAGAAAAAAGTGCGTTTCTTTTTAAAAGCAAAACACCTTCAGGGGTAAAATCGGGATTTCTCGTATTTTTTAAATGGGCCACTGTGCCAATTCTCACATCTTTCGGCCTCTCCAACCCAAAAACACTTGTGATTGAATGAGAAACGGCACGACCTGCGCTCTTAACATTGTTAAACGGCGGAACGTTGCATTCATCTAGAAAATAACAACATGTAGTTTAAATATTAAGAATGGTAACTCAAAAGGGTCACAGTATTACTTTTGTTTGCCATTGCGGCAAAATCCAATAATGCGGTTGTGTTCAATGTTTTATCAATGGGGTTATGAAAAAATATGATTATGAAAATTTCACTCTAATCACACAAAGACAGACACACGCATACACGTGTATAAGCATATATATATAATGTGTGTGTGTGTGTGTGAAATTACCAATGGAAGAGCCATTTACTTTGTTAAATGCTAGTCAGAGATTTATTATAAATATTATTCAAGTCATTAATATATGCACCGGAAAATTAAAACCAGAAATAACTCTTCTTTTAATAATGGAATTATATATTTATAAACTTTTATATATATTAGATATTGATTAACCTAATAAACAGCTAATATTAGTACTAGTTATTGAAGTTAAATATCAGCCAAATCACTGAAAAGAATACATGTAATTGGACATTTATTCAAATAACCGTACATGAATTTTTAAAAATATATTAATTTATCACCAGATATATCCCCGAATCGAGAGTTACGAAGACATCGCAAGGAACTTCACTTGACCACCTTCTCGGCCGTTTTTATATATATATATAAGAAAACTATTTTGTGGGAAAAAAAATTAAAAAATGAAATGAATGTAGTTACAAAAAAAAACAATAAAATGTATATAAAATCTAATTAACTTGAAAATAGATTAAGAAACTTGTTTTATAAGCTTAATATATGAACTTTAACAAAAAAAAAGTTTAATATATGAAGACTTCGTGAATACTTTGAGAAAATAAATTTGTACTTTTATTTTTTTTTGTAGGTACAAGAAGGAAATTATTTATACATAATAATTCATCAATATTTCTCCAACGGTCCAACCTTAAAAGAATTATCATAATGAAAAGTATGTATAGGTAGTAACCTAATTGACCTTCTCTCTTGCCATGCGGAGTCATACGTGTACGGTTCTCCATAATGCATGTATTACTTACTCATTTTAGTTCTGCTTTTAATTTACTTTTTTAACATTTAATAGATTTCCTTAATTAGGGTTTCTTTCTACTTTTAATGGGAGTTAATTACATAACTATTTATATTTTTTTTCTTGTTCTTGTTCTTGTTGCGTTCACTACTTATACTAATGGTTTGGGAGGGGGTGTCAACCCCTTTTATTTTAAAATACCAACTATATAACAACTCTTAAAGGTATAAATTTCTGATAGTTTAAATAGATAGGACACGATTTATCTATCTCGCCTCGAATTCGAATTTCAAATTTAGAAAAAACATTCACTCAAAATTTTTCACCTTTTAAAATTAGTTTGGGTCTTAATCTAAAATATTCAGTTATCCAAAAAAAATGTTTTCAAAACTTTTTTATAAGAAAAAAAATATTTATGTTCTGTAATATCGAGACAATTTAATATGTTATTTTAAACAAATTTTTCATCAAAATAATAATAAAAATGACAAAAAAAAATGGCTGTTATATATAACATTATTATCGTCCCACAAAAATGAGAAAATTTCATATCCAAAAACTTTTGGATCAAAATCATTGATATGTTTCATATCTTACAAATTAGATCTATACCCATCCATAATTAATGTAAAGCAAGTGTTGGTGCGTTGGAATGTCATGATTAAAGCTATCATGCCAGGCCAAAAATAATTTGGTATAGGAACAAACAATGTATGTATGTACTTATGTAAATCTCTCATAGATTTATGCAGTCGATATCTTGGGGGTTTTCAAATACGATTTATTCCAAATAAAAATTAAAATCATCCAAATATTTTTAAAAATCTTAAAATTAAAAGAAATATAAAACATTGATCCGAACAACGCTTCATAATGTTAGCCATTCAATTAGTCACGTTTTTGTAAATTCGAACCCTAAAAGAATATGCAAAAATACAAAACAATTTACCAGCTTAAAGTTCATAAGGTTTTGTAACCACCGTGTATCTACATCTCCATTAATCCAAATTTGAGAAGAGGAAAAATAAGTCTGACCGAGGACCATACGTGGGTCCGCCTTTTTAAATTATCAGTAGAAAACGGATATTAAAAACCCTAACCCTAATTTTTTGTCATGGAATTATAATTTTAGGTTATCGGAAATGAGCTGTCATTTTATTACTTTTTTGTAGTTGTTTGTGTTTGTTAATTCGGACGTTCAAAAACCACTGGTGCACGTGAATATCCAAAAAATTTCACTCAAATGTTAATTTCCAACTATTATTATTATTAATTAACGCAATTCTGGATTAAGGATCTTAACATTTACGGCAAAACACATATACATATACGCACCTATATATATGTATATATATATTTTCAACAAAAAAAAGGAAATATATATATTTGATGTGTAGTGCAAAAGGGATATATATGTGGCAGGATGTGGTCCACCCAAAATATATATTAAGATATGATTCACTTTTTCTTCACATTTTTCTAACGTTTCCGGATCCATTATTTTTCGTTTTTTTAAAAACTTTCTAGAACGCATTTTTTATAAGCACTTTTTTTTAATAATTCAATTGAGTTTTTCTTTTATTTTGTTAAAGTATTAAGAAATATTCCAAAATTAACTGTTTGGTAATCGAACATTTAAGTAGGAATTGGAAATAAAAATAAAAGTTATAGCGGTCAAATTAAAAAAAATAATTGCTTCAAAATCCCGAAGTTCATTCTGGTTGCTCAAAATTAAAAATACTAAAACACGTTAACTGTTTAATTCTTAAATTCTGAAATTTCATCATAAAAATTGTTTATCTAAATTCATATTTACCATTTTATTCCCATACTAATTCAACACGATATAAAGTTAATAAATTATTGTTTATTGATTCACAATTAAGCAATATAATGAGAAATTGCATGCAGTAATCATACTAAGTCAACAAGATGTAAAGTCATCTGCTTTGTAATTTGAATTACGTAGAAAATCATACAGTAATCAAATTCTTAACTTGTATAAAATATAGTTGTACAGATAATCTCCAATTGATTAAAATTAAATATGTTTAATAAGTAATAACTACTTTGGAACGATACATAAAAGAAAAAAGGGCTTAAAGAAGAGTCTCTTTTTTTTTTGTAACTATGGGAATCCCTATGATTATCTATCTTTACAAACGGAGACGAACTGGCCACCACCTACGCCTAACAGTCCCCATAGACCTCAGTTCGTCGGACCTGGCCACCAGGCGCGCCTAACGCTCGGACCGTAGTTGGGCTTAGGCGCCTGTAGGTCAAACCCCACGCCCACGCATACGAGTCTGCAACACACGCGAAAGAGGTAAATCAGCCCATTATGATGGGCTGACAGGCGAGCAGGTCAAAGGCAAGGAAGAGCGATGAGAGGATTCGAACCCTCCACCTCAGGATGATGCACCCTGCTTCCTTACCACCTGACATGGCCCCGAAGAGCAGAAGAGTCTCTTGTTCAGTTCCTAAATTTCCTCAAGACGAAAGATTCGATTCACCGAGCCGTAAAGTTGAGTAACGATACTTATTTCGCTATAAAAAAAAACCCAATATTTTCCAAATAATGAATAAAAACATATAAGATTGTAAAATAAATTAAAAATAAAAACATATAATGAATAAAAGGGGACGCAAACCGTTTGTTCCACCCCGAGTTCGAGCTTTAAGTAGGGGAGGAGAGCGTAATTCCAATCGTATGGCTTGTTCACGGTTCCAGAATTAGTCTGGACCTCGGTGTAGGACATCCGATTATCTAAAAAAATTAAAAATATTGTATTTTAAAATGAGAAATTGGGTATTATTCTCTTAGAGTACGAATATGCACATTCGCAGAAATAACACTTTAGTTTAACTCTATTAAGGGGCCAAAAATAATAATTTATTTTCGTGTACATGCCATGCTGTAATTCCATAATCGGATAAAAAAATTTCCGTATATAAGGATAATAAATTATTTTTGCCTTGTTTAAGAAAATGACTTTTTTGCTCGCATCTAAAGATATACATGTGCATGGATGTTGAGCTATTCTTGGTTTCCGTGACACAGTGACAAAATTGTCGCGACATCGAAATAAGAACTATTCGATTTTTTAGTTATTCCAATTTAGTAAACGTATTGTATTTCGTGTCTCAATATAGTAAAATAAACCATATAATAAAATGTTTTATGTCGAAAATTATGCTCCCGAAGCGTAATTGGTCGGAACTCACTCATGCTGTTGGTGTTGCATGGGAGTAATTATTTAATGTACTATATGGTGCCATCTTGAGTCGAGATCTGTGGTTCTAACAATATACTTTGATTTGTCTGAATTCCAATGCAATATAAGATTAAGATCGTGATATACAACGGTTTTAATTCTTATTTAATTTTTTAATTAGATTATGTAACACACATAATCATTGGATTTTTTATTATTCAAAATAAAGCATTACAATATTTATAGGTCATCTCTTTATCTCTTTTTCACTTGTGATTACA